GCCTTCCCGTGTACCTCTCCAACGAACTTGAAGAAATACAAAAGCGGGCTACGCGCATTATTTTTCCTCTTTACTCATATAATGAGGCCTTGGCTGAATCAGGCCTGACTAAACTTTCAGATCGCCGCCAGAAACTAGTTGATAAACTATTTAAGAATGTTTTACAGAATGAACAGAATAAGCTCCATGAACTTCTTCCTACTCGCAACACATGTACCTTTAACCTAAGAAATATGCGGAAGTTTAAGCCAGTTTTTAAGACGAACAGGTTTCGTAATAGTTTTATTACCTTCAATGCCCTTAAGGCTTGAACGGTTTTATACAGCCTTTTTTCTTTAGAACATATATTTAGTGTCCTTATTCCTGTTTTAATACATTTAGTCTATTTAACCTAATTATCAATGTTTGAAACTTGTAAATAATCGTATAATTCAACTTTTGGTTACAAATCGGTTATTAATAAACTATTTATCTATCTATCTATCTATCTATCTATCTAACGAACCGATGCTAATTATTCTATTCCAAGTAATTACTGTGATGATGAGTATATCGGACAGACCAAACGTCAGTTTGGTACACGTTTGAGAGAGCATCAGAAAGCGGTCTCTTTTTTTGCAGAAAAGAAAATTCAGCTTTGTCGGAGCACAAATGCCTAACCAACCATACAATTGGATGGGATCATTCTAAAATTATCACCACTACTTCCTGCTACCACCACCACTTTTGTTTGGAAACTGGGTACATCAACTCCGTCCACGCTCCTTTAAATCGTGATGATGGCGGCTTACTACTTGACACCTATTTACGCCTCGTCAGAAAACATGACAGCTAATAAGCGAGCATATAAAAAGAGCCTCTTTTTGCAACGATCAGATCACCCCCGATGAAGGCACTAGACAAGAGTGTCGAAACGTTAGGTCGATGATTTGTAATTTCGTTTACGTTCATTAAATCTTTATACCAGGATAGCATCAAACCATGTCTGATTGTCCACCTGGTTGCTGTGTGAACCGTTAATATAAAGTTTAATTACTTATGCGTAATTTTCGTCTTTAAGATAATACGCCTCCCGAGACTGAATAATTCGTATTTGAATGAACCTTTCTTTCACCTAAAGAGACTCTCTAAAAGCATATATTTTATCCAAAAGGCAATCGTCAAGGCAAAGGCGAAGACGACATTTTCTACTCACGGTGTCAAGGCTGCGCACGCGCAGAGACATGATTGAGGACAAGATTGAGGATCTGTGCGCTGTGGTCCACCTCCGAGCACTGTCCAGTTATAATTCCATATTCATACTTTTTTTGGTCAACATGTCAATCAACAAAAGAATTTTCTCTCAGAAAGAAAGCAACGGTTCTAAGTCCAGCTCCAAAACATAGAGAGATAAATAAGTCGGAGACAATGAAGTGACTCTGCCGAAAATAAAACTTTGCTAAACCGAAGGAAACAAATAAAACAAAAATAGAAAAATAGGAGAAATGCAATGGTAACCTTCGAGGACAGTTTCAAATGCATTTATTTGAGCTCTCTTCTGCCGAAATCAGCAGGGATGGCGAACAAAGACCAAAACGCAATAGTAAAAGTAAGTTTTAAGCTTCTGTTGTTCTTTTGTAAACAATCGGAGGATCACATTTATGACGGAGTAATGTGACTAAGCGATTAAGGCTCCCGATAGATGCAAACATGAATGTGGCTATGTATCTTACTGGTCGAATGGGCATGAACTTTTTTTCAATCTGACTGAAAAGTTACGGATCTCCTTTGGGAACACACACTTTGTTTACTGAATTGTTCACTCCTTTACTGATTAAAACCGCTAACACTTGAGTTACAATGCTGCACGATCGAACTATAACATGATTTTATTTGCACACTCGTGGAATATCGAGTGAAACACTTGAAGAGAAATTCCCCATCTACGTGCACCGACCCATGTATTATTCTCTATGTAAAACTGCTGTAAAATTAATTGCACGTTGATCGAAATCTGTCATGATTTCGACCGAAAAAGAATGTGTTCTACATTTGGAGTGAAATGATCAAAGGTATCGGTGGGGGCGAACTGGCATAGGCGTGAGCGAAAATGTTTTATTTCTGGCGGCGAACTCGCAAGAGTTGTAAGGGATGAATGTGCAATGAGGTGAAACCTTCATAAACTATTTTCCGCTCGCCACAATGATTAATCCTTTAACCCAAACAGTGCCAGAATTTATTTTCTCCATATAGTATCACTCCTGAATGAAAAATTAAGGTCACGAGAATAAAGGAAATGATCATCAACTTAAAAAGCTCTTGATTGTTAGACGTATTCTCTTTGTCAGTTCTGCAGGAAATGCGTAGAAAAAAATTAAGAGAAAGCGCACCCTAATGTCGGGGTGTGAGGTATAAAGACGCTTCAGGCCTGGATTGTTCTTAGCACATCTGACTGATTTCTAACATCAATGTTATTTTCGTTAAAACAACGATTTTTCTATCAAAAAAAGGAATACTTATCTATTCTTTGAGGTAATGTTTTTCCCTGTCTTCGAGCGCAAGAAAAATTAATGACTTTCTAAGCACGAATATTTGTTGACAGAGATGCTCGATAAAGTACTAGATTGATGGAAAATAAACTTAAAAAGGCAGAGGAAGCAATTTTGAAAAGCCTCCATCTTTTGCAATAGAGGGCTACAGAGTCATTCCCTGCACTCCAATTGCAACAAAACTCTTCTGCTTGAAGTTTACATCAATCCCACCAAATGATGACAAGGCATTGTACAACTCTGTGTAAGTGGCATCTTTGCCTTTCCTTTGTTTCCGAGCCCTTAACATACCGTAAGCCTTATTTGCCAGCCCTTTATGTTTTTTAAAGGCATCTATTTCGCCGCTTGGGTCGAATCCCAGTCGTTCTGATAGGTTCTCCCATTTTTTGCTAAGTTTCCGGGACAGAGCGTCTAACTCGTCAAAATATGGTGCACCAGTCTTGAATCGAAAAAGCTGCGGATAATAATGGGGAAGAAAATATTAGAAAAGGGGTGCTGTAAGGCAAATAACGAACATCCATGGCGAAAGGTGATTTCTTATATAAAAACCAATGAAATACCTGATGAGCTTTCGCACGAAAACGTAACATCTTCACAGTTAAGTGAAAAAAAAAAGTTTTAACATATATATGACCCGGGAATCTTTAAAATGGGCAATGCTCATGTTTACTTTTTAGGGAAGGGGAAATGTTTCAGTATAATCCGTCAATGTTTACAACAAAATGCCAAATTCTGGACTACGGACAGACGACTCTCGTAGTATTTGTATTAGGCGTTGTTCTTTTCCCTTCCACTTGTTGCCCAAAAAAAGAACGCCGCAGGATAATATCGGAAACGGTGTAGATCAGAGTATTCAGTCATAATTGCTAAAAGGGCAGATAATTGACTTAATTACCGTCCAGACTAATAAGAAACAAATGATAATTGTCAAGTGCCACTGCAATAAGCCAAAAACAAAATTGTTTCATTTAATCACTTTCACCAGAGTATGGTGAGGGTCGCACAACAGAGCGAGGCTCCAAATTAAGTGCGCCCAATATCCCACCCATCCCACCCCAGGGGAGGACATCCATCACACAGTAATCTCGTGTGTGGGAAATTAACGTCTCCTACCCCAACCCTGCAGGAGACGGGACCTCCATTTATTCGTCCCTATCCGAGAAGACTAGAATATCTAACCATTTCTTGATGTTATAGAAAGGTNGAGGAGGTATACCCCAAATTTACCCCAAATCTGTTATTGGAGGGGTTACGGCTCCCCTCGGTCTCCCTGCCTCCCCCTTCCCACCTGCCCCATCGCCCCAATGATTGGAATTAAGGAATTTTATCAAAATCTAGGGGAAATATTTCCACAACAAAACCCTCGAGCAATCAATTTACATTTTTAACTCTTCGACATTGTACTCAAAAGATCTTAAAGGTTTAAACTTTTAATGTTTAAAAAACATTACAACCTGCTGTCCCTTTGTTTCTCTTAGAGTCTGAGCTGGAAGAACGAGATGAGGACCGTCGTCTCTTTCGGGGAGAACTGTCTTCATCATCCGAATCATCTTCATCTGATATCGACAAGAAATCATCACTTCAGAAAAACATATTGTAATTCGTATTTCAGTGGATGATTTACTAACGGAGAGGTTACAACTGACGCTTTCAGTTATCCTTGAACATAAAATAATTTAACAGGGCACCTAGGTTTGGATTAAAAATGACAGAAATCCCCTTTGTACCCGGCAACAGTTTTCCTCGAGTAACTTTACATATATTACTTAATTTGTCAGTCACTCTGTCTGTCTTAGAATCTCTCTACGGCGTCTAATTTACATTATCAATTTAATTGATAAAACCAAATTTTTAATTACGAGCATTTCTTTGGTTAACTAATTACTTGTCTGATTGATTACTCAATTTATTAGATCAATTTTGGTCCTTGCAATCTGATTGGCGCTCATCGGTGAAATTTAGTCACAAACGGACTGCCTTAATTGGATCTTTTTCCCAGCAAATGAGAAACCTTTACAAAGCAAAACGACCAATCAGCTTTCAAGGCCTAGGCTTGTTTAAAGTAACCAATCACATTGCAAGGAAATGAAAGACAACTTTTATAATTTTGAACAAACAAATCAGTTCTGGATCAATAAGATATTTGTAGAGACTAAAAAACTCCTATATTTGAGCGACATAATTTTGCAGTTTAAAAATGGATGGAATCAAGTGGTAATTGAACTGCTTTTCGTGTAGTTTTGGTCGGAAATTATACTTGTGATTTCGAATCAAACTTGCGCTGCGCGCCCGCTCAATTTTGAAATCGCGCGTATGATTTCAGATCTAACATGATATATGTGCAAAAAATTTCAGCATGCTCATTGGCCGTGAACACATCGATTAATCCTAAACACTGCCGAAAGTTGAAATTGACCACAAAAAGTTGAATCGAGTGCAGAGCGCAGCTTCAAAGCTATCCACTGTATTGGTGTGTACCAATATACATCATCAAAATCTGAATGCCAACAATTTTAGAGTGTGGACAAGGACTTTCCTTTTCCTTCTATATCTGTCATACAATTGCTGCACACTGTACACTTACCTTCAAAGTGAGGCCAGGACTCAAAAACATTGACATCCTTCACAGCGTGCGTGACGAGAGAGGCTGCCATAATACTGGCGAATTGTCTCCAAGAGTCAGTTTCGGATTTTTTTCCATCTGCATAGTCTGAAACGCCCTTAATGACACACCATTCAATGTCGAGGTCGTAGGCGGCTGCAAAAAGACCTAAAATAGAAGCATTTGGTATTTAAGAAACACCAGAGAAATAGTTTTCAATTGTGCTCTTCAAATAAGCAAATTGATGAATAAATCAGTAAGTACAAGTGGCGAAGAAATGAAGTTATCCTCGCAGTTGAACAACACTTAAAGAAAGAAATTAATTGAAATTGGACATCACCCTATAATGGGAGACATGCAGGCACACAGTTAGAGAGGCAGAAAGAGACAGAAAGAGACTCGGCCACGTATTCAGACACACGTACACAGACAGCCAGATACACGGAAAGGTAAATATACTAAGAGACGGTAAGAATTGAATAAGACAACTGCTTAAGAGGAAGGGGAGCAAGCAAGGGAAAAAAGTGAGCGGAAAGCGGGTGAAAAAGTAACGATTTTTGAGCACAGTGCAATTGAAAATATTCCTGATAGACATTGATCATGAATGATCCAGAATGAAAGTCGAGTTACTAAATCAACGTGAATTAATGGTGAATCTAAACCTAATTTCGCTGTCAAACGTATCCTAGCATTTGTAAAAGATGGAAAATAGAGACTGACAGACACCACAGGCAGACAGACTGACAGACAGACAGACATACCGACAATACAGACAGACTGACTGCCAAATAAGGCCCTGTATAGATCTGAATAATCTAAAATAGTTATACTGTTCATTACCTTCCCCTTCACACTCAATAGCTGTAGCTACAGATGTACGTCTGATTAGTTCATCACGTCGTTTTTTGCTATCAACCACCTCAGGCCCACTCAGAAACACGCCTTCTTTGCAAACCTTCACATCCTGACTGGCTGGGTTCTCTAAAGGTGGTTTCCATCCATCTGTAATATTTTTGATGAAGTTCAACAGATTCTTACTAATAGGAACCACGACGTTTCGATTTTCGATCCCTTTTTCCGTCCTTTTTATGGAGGAGTAGGTTGCTAATTTTCGGCATACGACCACATCACCTAACTTTAGTTTCTCCTTCTTCAAACTGGCACAGATACCTACATAAAAGACTGCTCTGGGCCTTAAAATTGGGACCGCGTTCCGGACGGTAATCACCGCAGCACCTACACCGCTGGCGCCCATCTGGCTTTTCATCACTGCGACCTTCATTTTCTTCTCGCCATTACCGACAGCTCCGAAGTGTACGTAGCCAAGATTTTTTTGATAACTCTTCTCAAGATCTTTAAGAAAAGTCAGACAGCCAAGGAATTCAAAGTCCCTCACCGTCAACAAAAGAAAATCGACCGGTAGGATGTCTTTTTTGGTGTCTTTCCAAAGCTTTGTCTCCGTCGGGAGATCTTCATCTTTTAGAACTTTAAGTTCCGGATCTAACTTTGGTGGATTCACTTGATTGCTTGTTGTGGGATTTCTATTTCCATTAGTGTTAGTGTCTGCCATAGTTTACCTTTTCCTAGGAGGAAATAGAAGTAGTAGTAGTAGTAGTAGTAGTAGTAGTAGTAGTAGTAGTAGTAGTAGTGAACTTTATTTATGTGTCGTGAAAACCTAGCGCATAGCACTAATTGGGGACACAGGGTAAAAGCTTTAAAAATAAGAAATCTGGAACCTATTTACAGAATTATTTACCTAACCTATTAACAGTTAAAATTATTTATCAATGTCCTAGAGTTAAAAATCAACTATTACAGAGCGCACATTTTTTGCATCCATCATCAATCATGACAGTCATGTCCGTTCTCCTGATTTTGCTCTTAAATCCGTGCAGGCTGTCTTCACTGCGTAACTCTTTTGTAAGTTTCGACCAGAGGAGAGGGCCATAGTATCTTATAGAGTGTTTACCATATTTTACTGTATTAAAGCGAGGGATTCTAAAATCTGCATTTCTTAGAGAATATCTTCTATCGCAGTTTACTTCTGACATAAATAGTTCCTGTATTTGACAAGGAAGTAAGTTCTTTTTTGCCTTGAACATAAGGATTGCTATGTCCTGGAGCCTTCTGTTCACCAGTGATGGAATTTCAGCCAGCTTCAGCAGGCCGTCATAAGAGAGTGATTTATCGTTGAAAACTGCTCTCAAGGCCCTTTCCTGTAGTCTTTCAGCTTTACGTTTGTCTGAGGCTCTGCAGAAATGCCAGATGATACTGCAGTAGGTCAAGTGAGGTAAAATGGCGGCTTTATAAAGTTGTAGTTTAGCGTAAGTGGGTATTAGTTTTCTTAGACGACTTAAAACTCCTATCTGTTGACTTGCCTTTTTACAGACTAAGGTAATATGCTCACTAAAATTTAGTTCAGAGTCCAGGAGTACCCCCAACAGTTTGATAGATTTTGATTGTTCAATGTCAGTCCCATCTATATGCAGGTTTATACTATTTTTGGCCTCAGTTCCAGAACCCATAAGCATGGATTGATATTTCT